CCCCGGCCCCGGCCCCTGCCCTTGCCCCTGCCCCTGCCCCGGAGCCGGGGGCTGGCGGGGGCTGCAGCGGGCCCAGTCTTGGCCGAGGGAGGCGCAGCCCCCACAAACCCGGCAGTTCTTTAAAAGGCTAAAAGCTTAAAACCGCCACGGGCCGCCCCTGGGGAGGGCGACCAGCGCCTTAAAAACACCAATAAATTACGGGGGACAACAGAAGAGAAAGCAGGGAGCGCCCGGGCGGGTCACAGGGTCAAGACGCGTGCTCCCCGGGGACACGGAGCAGAGACCCCGGCCAGGGCCCACCGGCTCGCGAACTGGGGCAGCTCGCCTCGCCGCGCCGCGCCGGCGGCTACTGCCCAGCGGTGCTCTGCCCCGAGACGCGCGCCAAGGACACGGAGGAAAAACTCCCCGGGAGCCTTCCCGGCCAGAGCCGCCTGCCTGGACCGCCAGATGACACGCATGGCCAGCGCCAGGAGCAGGCTGACCAGGAGGTCCTGGGCCTTGGAGGGGCCTCCGCCGACGGAAACCCCCGATCCAGACTGTTTCAGCTGCTGTCACCGTGGTGCCGGTCGCCAACGCCCGACGCCGTCGTGCGACGATGAGGACAAGCAGCCGGGACCCGCCCAGTCGGGGCGCAACAGTGCACCGGTTCCGGGCCCGCCCGCGGGACCTGGAGGACATTGACAACACGGCCGCCGCCCGCCGGCGACTCAGATCCCAGCGGCTTCGCCACGATGCAGTGGACTTCAAATAGTCCCTCACAAAGCCCGGGGCTGATCTCCGAGCCACGCACCACTGGCACCCGGGCATCACCCACCCCTGCGCCCCGGAAAGCAAAGGCGGGGGGCGCAGCTCCCCCCGTTGCTGCTCTGAGCCCCTCAACAGCCGTGGCAACCCCCCAGTCTGACCAGGGGGAAATCCCTTCCTGGCCCCACTGCGCACCAGGGCAGAGGGCCAAGGCGCTCCAGCTTTGGTCCCAGCAAGAGCATCGGCACAGCGGGCAGAGCCCCTGGCCCGGGCTGCAGCCAGCACTGGCCTCCGGCTGCCCCTCCAGCCCCTCCGCGGCCTCGCTGCCCGGCTCCAGCTCTTCTCCCTCTGCCCAGAGGGCAGGACCAGCACGTGAGGCGGAGCTGCACCGTGGACTTGGAGCAGCTCCTTTCCTTCACAATTCCCAGTTGTTTTGTGCCTTTCCGACAGCAGGCACCCCCGGCGCAGGACCCCCAGCCCCCCCCCAGGGTGTGCCCAGCTGCAGCTGGGGAGGAGCGAAGCCCCCGGCGTCCCTTCCTTGCAGCTCTCCTCAGCAGGTGACAAGGCCCCGGCAGCCGCCCGCCCGCTACAGCAGCCCCTGGGTCCCAAGGAGGCGATGCCCCTTCTCCCCCCGGCCTCCTCGGGGAGCAGAGACTGGAGGACAGCAGGGGCAGCTGTGGGGCTCGGAGGAAGGGGAGCGCAAGGGGACGTGGGAGCCGGTAGAAGGACACGGCAGCGAAAGCGGAGGACGCCCGTTTAGTTGCATGGCTACAAAATCCTTCTGCCGCCTCCCCCAGCGCGGGCAGACGGGCTGCGAGCCAGCGGTCGGCGCCCGGATGCCCGGTGCTCGGGGGCAGGGCCCTGGCACGGTGGCAGTACAGGGAGGCCAGACGGAGTCAAGGCGAGCGCTGGGCGGCCGCGTTCAGGCGCTCGGGTTCAAACTGCACATCCGTGGCAACCAGCACAAACCCCTGTGGAGACAGAGCATGGGGGCACGTGGGTGGGCAGCCCCCAGGGCTGTACCGGGGCTGGTGGCAGTGCCAGTGCTACCCACCTCGTGAATGCTGACGTGGGGCTGCACCAGGCTGATGTTGTGGAAGCTGGGCACCGCGAAGCCCTTCTTCAGTCGCTCTGAGAGGGGAGAAGGGGCAGCGGTGAGGGGAGAGCACTGCCCCTTGGGGTGGGGTGGGGTGGGGAGAGGCCAGCACTCACTGTTGACCAGCGGCATCCCGACCGCGCGCAGCGCCAGGTTCATCACGGCCTCCAGGTCCTTCACCTGCACGACATGGGGGCACCAGTGAGAGCAGGGAGGGCGTCCCCCAGCCGTGCCTGGTGCTCTGTGCCCAGCCCCTGCTCCCGCACAGCCGGCCTGGGCCGGAGGGCACGCCAGCTGTGCACACGCAGAAACACGCAGCTGTATCCTTCACACCGCGTGCGCCATGCGTGGGCGTGCCAGTCGCGGGCGTTGTGCACGTGCAAGCAGAGTATTCATGCTGTGCCCCGTGTCTCCGTGGGGCTGCCCAACTCTCTCGAGCAGGGGTAACCTCTCCGGGTGGCTCGGCTGGGTCCCCCCCACCAGACCTGAGCCCCGCCCCACTCTCACTCACCTCGACCGGGCCCACGTGCGACTCCACCTGGGACATCCTGAAGCTGTAGGAGACACGGAGTCAAGTTCATGGCTAGGATCACGTGGCAGCAGCGTGGGGTGGGGGAGGAAAGGCCCATGGAGACCCAGCACTGCCCTTCCTCGGGCATCCTACCACGCCCCGGGGACTAGCAGCTGGGGATGGGGAAGAGGAGCCCAGGGAGCCCCGAGGGCGAGAGGCCGCACTGCCCTGCGAGAGGTTGGGCTCTGGTGCCTCTTGGGCTTGGGGCTACAATGGGGACCCCCCCTCGCGGATGGGCCCTGCTGGACAGGGACAGGGGCAGGGGCACTCACTTCTTCAGCGCCACGGAGCCCCTGACCCTGGCCGAGTCCACGAGCAGCTTCCCCGTCAGGTTGGCATCCTGTCAGCAGAGTGAGGGGTTAGCAGGTCCCTCCTGTCGGCTGGAGCAGCCCCCCCCTCCAGCTGCCCTGCCCCCCCGGTGCCCTTGTGCACAGAGCTCCCCTGCCACCCTGCAAAGCTAGCGGGGGGCAGCGGCTGCCCCGGGTGCTTACGACATCCAGGAGGAAAGCGGGCGCCAGGGTGGCATTTGGCAGGACGACGAAGGCTTCGGCAGTGCCGAACAGCGCCAGGTCCAGGGCGCCGGGCTGGCAGCTCAGCAGCGGCTGCTTGCGGGCAGCGAGGTGCAGCTCCATGGGCAGGGCTGGGACGTGGGCCAGCAGCTGCATGGGGAGAGGCAGGGCTTGGGCCGCGGCACCCTGGGCACTGGGCCGGGAGCCGGACCCCCCCGGTGCACGGCCCACAGCCGCAGCTATCCCTGCCCCTGTGTCGGGGGGGCACTAAACCCAGGCTGCCAGGAGCGGGGCACAGGCTGGGGGAGCTCCAGGCGGACTCACCTTTGGGGCAAACACCCCCATGCTCATGGTGTTCAGCCGCAACGGGGACCGCTTGTGGATCTGCAAGGCACGTGCGGGGTCACTGGGGGATCGTGGCAGGGCCCCCCTGCTCCAGGGCAGCCCAGCTGGGTGCAGGCCGTGAGCATCCCTCAGTGCCCCCAAAGCCACCGCCCCACGCAGGGGTCTCAGCTGCCCCAGCCGGGAGGAAGAGGTCCCTGCCCCACCAGATCCGAGCTGCCCGGGGTTGGGGTCCTGGGGCTCGTCCCGGGGGAGGGCGCTATACCATGCTGTCAGTGATGTGTTGCTGCAGGGTCCCGGCGGTGAAGTACACGAATGCCGCCGAGTTGGCCAGGGCCTGGGAGGCGGCAAGGAGCAGCATGCGGCCGTCCGAGCCAGGCAGCAGTACGGGCCCGGGCGAGAAGGGGCTCTCCTGGGGGGCCCCCACCCTGGAGAACTCGCCCTGCCGGGGCAGGGAAGCGCGTGAGCTGGGTCTTGCTGCAGCCTGGCTTCCCGCTGCCCCGGCACGAGCCTGGAGGCACTACGGGCTCTCAGCACGGGGTGGGGGGGGAAACTGCCCCTACAGCTGCCCCCACTTCCTGCCACTGGCGCGACCTTACCTTGAGGTCCACGTCCCCGTGCTGTGCGGTGATGGTGGGCTGCTGCACCAGGGAGTAGTTGAGCTCGGCAACGGGGTCGATCTGAGCCGAGACTGTGGCAAGGGGTTCGGGTACGGGGTTAGCAGAGCTCGCCCCCCCCGCCCCACCATGACTTCCAGCCCCAGCCCTGCCCCGGGAGACTGGAGTCAGTCAGAGCAGAGCGGGGCGGCCCTGGGTGTGGACCCGTGTCTGCAGGGAGCAGCTGATCCGGAGTCACACCGGTCCTGGCTCCTGGCCCCCGAGCCCCAGCTTCCCCCCACCCCGCCGCACTGGCTGCCTGTCGCTGCGCAACCCACCTCGCATGGTCTCCAGGACGTGCTCCAGCCTTTCCACCCCTTTCCTGAGCTCTGGGCAGAGCTGGGGGAAGAAAGCAAGAAGGCCGCAGGTCAGACAGAGCAGATCTGGGGGCAGGAGGGAAGGGTCTGCCCTGCGGTCACCTCCTGGGTCAGGCGGCTCCTTCCTTGGGCTCAGAACAACTCCTGAGACAGAGATTTGTCTGCAAATGGCCACTGCTGGGAGCCGCTCGCTCCTGCAGCCATGGCACGGGGACAGCCAGTACGACACGGGGGCCGTGGGGGGCAAGTGTGGGCGCATTTCATCCCACGCAGGAGCAGAAAATGATCTGCGCTGATGCAGGAGCACGCTGGCAGCACTGCCCTGCAGGGGTGGTTTCCCGGCGGATAACAGCCTAGCGCTGCGTGTGACAGAGTGCCCGACCCCATTAGACTCCAGGTCCCCCCCGGCTCTTTGCTCTCCCTCATCTTCTGACTACAGAAGAAGAGCAGAGCACAGACAGACCCAGACAGGCCAGCGCTTGTGATGCTCCGGGGTCTGGTTTGAAACCTCCGGGCTCATCTTGTGACTCGCCTTGCGGTGCTAACATGGTGCAGTGCCCCACGGCACCCTTAAAAGGACCTTGTGCCACCCTGGAGTGGGGAGTCACTGGCCCAGGGTATGCACACAATGCATGGCCTTGCCCCGGGGCAAGTCCCTGTGCTGGGGGTGAGGCCAGGCCTCAGGAAACCAGGCGGGTGGCGGGGAGTTACACCAGGGCACCCACCCCCGTCTGTCTGCTCCTCTCTCCCTGTCGACCTGCGCTTCCACTACCAAGTCCACCCCGGGTAGAGCTGCTCCGGGGCAGCCGTGCGGGGTCTGCGCTCCAGGTTACCAGGCTGCGTGCTGCCAACTGGCGGCCGAGTCATCCAGGGGGGTGACCCGGTGCTTGTCTCCCCCCCAGGCCCGGCATGGGAGGGAGAGGCACAGTTAGCCGTGCCCGCACTCACGTGCTTGTTCAGCTCCGTCTGCAGCGGTCCCTGGAGCGCGCCTGTGAACAGGTTGTAGAGCCAGCTGCGGGGAGACAGAGCATGGAGCCGCAAGCGCGGGGCGGCTTTCCCCAGGCACCCCCGGGGAGGGGCGGGGGGCAAGGCCGGGGCAGGTCGGGGCCTACCTGGCGCCCTGCCGGAAGGTCACATCCAAGCCGTGGACGCGGGACTCGCAGCTGTCGCTCCACACGGAGAGGCGCCCGCCGGGCCCCCGGCTCACGCCCAGCACGGTGGAGAGCGAGAGGTCGCGCACGGAGATATCGAAGGAGCCGCTGTCGTGTCTGGGGGCGCCGATTGGGGGGCAGGATTGGGGTCGGGGGGTTAGGGGCACAGCTCAGCGGGCTCCATCCCTCCCTGGGGTGTGGGGATCCTTCACGCCAGACCCGGGTGCAGACGGGACCCCCCTCACCCCAGCAGCACTCACATGGACCAAGCGTGCGCCGCCCAGTCGCCGCCGAGCTGGACGCGGGCACGCTGGACCACGAGTCGCACGCCCGTCCCCTCCGAGAAGCCCACGGTCGACTCGTTCACCTGGAGCTCCTGGATCCGGACCCTGCAGGGCAGCAGGCGGGCAGGTCAGGCCCCAGGAAGGCTGGGGCAGCCTGGGGATGTCGGGAAGCCCCAGAGCCAGGGATGCACGGACGCGGGGCAGAGGCACACTCGGGGCTGCTCTCTGCAGACTCCAAGTGCCCGTGTGAGAAATGCATGCGTGTGTCAGCATGTGCTCCGTTCACGTGTGCGCCAGAAAGGTGCTTCCCTGCCTTCTGCGTGGCCCGAGTCGCCCAGGGGCTCATCCGGCTGGGTGCTGAGCTACTCGGGACATTCCTGCCCCCTCCACTTACCCCCGGAGAGCCGCACAGGGAGAGAAGGGAGCCTTTCTGGGAAAGCCTGGCTGCCAGGCAAGTGTTGGAGGGGAAGGGGTCAGAGCCAGGGGCAGGTGAGAGGATCCCGGTCAGACAACCGGGCACCAGAGGATGGCAAGCGCCAGGGAGGGGGGTACTAAGGAGACCCACAGCGCAAGGCTGGGCCCAGCGGGTCTGTGCAGGGACCGTGAGCAAAGTGCAGGGGCAGCCGGGACCCCAGAGCCGCCCCTCTCTGCCGTAGCTCCAGCCCCCAGCAGCCGCAGCGAGGGGGGTCGGCGGCTCTTACTGGGACACGGAGTAGGCCACGGTCCCGATGAGCGGGATGCTGTAGGAGCCGTTCAGGTCCGGGATCGGCTCCTTCTGCAGCGCTGACTTCAGCAGCTCCAGCCCGAACTGCTGCCCTGTGGGGGAAGGGGCAAGGGGTTGCAACACGGCATGGGGCAGGCACATGGCAGGGGGCGCGGGGACCCTTGCCCCTTCCCTCCCAGCTCCCCCCGGTGATGCGGAGCCAGCCTGGGCGGTGGGGGGCTGGGGGGGTTGCTGAGGCCGAGATACAGACCGTACTCCAGGGCTTCCTGCGTCACGCGTGCCTTGAGGCCGGCGGGGGTCCCCTGTGACGCAGAGCAAGTGCCCAGCAGGGCCAGGACCAGCACCCAGGCCATCCTCGGTGACCGGGCAGCTCCTCGCCCTGACCTGGCGCAGGGAGACGGAGCAGGCGGTCAGTGCCCCGTGGCAGGACGGGTCCACGGGCCCTGCTCCACAGAGCTGTGCCAGGACGGGGCTCGCGGGGCTTTGTCTGCCGTGGGCACCGGTGTCCCTGGGGCAGCAGGGATGTCTCATGGGAGATGCCGGCCAGGAAGCACTGGTGACGGTGGAGGGGTTGTCCCGTGAGACCCCGCTCCTGGATGCGTGGCACTGGAAACCCGCCCTTGCCCAACGCGGTGACTCAGCAGGGAAGCCCTGCGCCCAGGCGGCTGCCCGCCCGTGCGCCCAGCTTCCCACGGGCTCCTCTGTGGGGCTTTCTTCTGGCGAGCGCCGGGGGCCCGGGACCTGCCCTGCTCGCTGCAACCCCAGCCCACTGCAGCAGCACGTGCCCAACGTCCGGGACTGGCCACTGCAGCAGCCCGACCTGCCCCGGAGCCGCACATGGCTTGGCCTCGTCCCAGTTCAGGGTCATCCGAGCGGTGCCATGAGCCCAGCCCTGCTCTCGGAAATGAGAGCACAGGTAAAGCAGGGGGCCGAAGGCTGGTCTCCCTCTCGTGGGGGGGAACACGCCCGAGCCAGGAAATCCACACGCTGCTGGGCCACTGCAATGCACGGGACCAGCTGGCGCAGTGCTACCCCCATGCCGGCCTCCCCCTGCATCCAGCGCTGCCCCCTGCCCAGGTCCGAGGCAGCTGGGAACGCTGCCTGCCATCCTCTGGACGCCTGGGAGGCCTCCTCCACCTTCCCGGGAGCATGTATCCACCTCTCCAGCCTTGATGAGCCCTGGCTAACGAGCCCCAGGTGATGTGTCCTCAGTGACAGCCCTGGTCACCGATACTGGCAGGTCCCGTGCCCGGTCCACCCTCGCCCCGATGCTCTGCCCAGCAGTGCCTGTCTCTCCTGGCAGCCATGCGGACAGGCCACAGCAACCCGTCGGCTCCCACTGGACCGCGCAGCAAGGCGGTGGCGTGGCCATGACCTGCGGCCTGGCCATGGGGGCGAGGATGCCCATACCTGCTGGCCTCCTGGCTCAGGCTCCTCGTGGGGTCTGCTCTGCCGGCTGCGTCCCAGTGGAAGAGCCCCTGTCCTGTCTCCGGCAGCTGGCACTGGCTGCCCAGCTTCTCGGCTCCCGACAATCTGGTCGGACCAGATATTCCCTGGGTTTGACAACCTGTCGCCGGCTTAGTCACCCCCGCCCGCACGCAAGGGACAGGCTGAGCATGTGCCCCGGTCCCGGGAAGCTGGAGCAGGGTGCGGCGGGCACACATCCGGGTGTCCCAGGAAATGCTCTGGCACCGAGTCATGCATGCTGTGGGGCGGCCGCCCCAGGAGCACTTGCCATGAGGGCAGCTCCCCCCAGGCATGCCCAGGCAGAGGGGATTCCTGATTGCAGCTGAAGGGATGTCCTCAGGCAGAGGCAGGAGGCTGGACCCCCCCCAGCGTCAAAGTTCGCCCACTTACACATGCCTACGCCTGCACACGCGTGTGCTCAGGCACGCACATGCCTTTCCCTCCGTCCTACACAGGCTTCACAGGTCACTTGCTTCTGTTTGCTCTGGGCTCCTGTTCACGCCAGCTGGTTGTTTGGGAACGTCGCAGGCAGGCGGTAGGCGAGGGGGCTGCCCTCGGCCACACCTCCCTGGGGCAAGGACATGCCCCATTTTGATTCCCCAGGGCTAGAGAGGGCCAAGGACCCACGGGACTCCACGCAGCAGCGACGGTTTCATCCACCTGCCAGAGAGAAAGAGAAGCCTGTCAGGCCCCGGGAGAAAAGCGGTTCCTCCAAGACCCAGCGTGTCTCAGCCCAGGCCTCCCCTGGGGACGGGGCCCGGGCCCGGGCCCAGGGTCACTGCATCTGCTGTCTTACTCCCAGGGTCCCTCCCGCTCCGTCCTGGCCCGGGAGCAACCTGCAACCCAGGACAGACCCCCCCGCAGCTCCTTGCACCAGCCGCGCTCAGACCTCCTTACCCCAAGGGGCAAACTGGACTGGGCGCATTGAACAGCGGGGGAAACTGAGGCACGGAGCAGGGCAGTGGCTTGCCCAGGTGGGGCCGTAGCAGAGCCAGGTGCAGAGCCCCGCTGCCCTGCCCTGCCCTGCCCTGCCCTGCCCTTCCTCCCACCCGCAGGCATGGCAGCAAGACAGGCCTTTCCCAGGAAATCAAATGCACCCCAATCTGCGGCAGCAGGGAGATAAGGCCGAGCCCGGGTGCAAAGCACTCCCGCTGTAATAAGCTCAGAGATCGGCAGAGGGCACCAGCGTATAGTCCTGGGGCTCCCGGCAGGCTGTGCCCGTTGCTCCTGCCCGAGCCCTGGGGACTTCCACTCCCCTCCCGCCCCTGCAACCCCTGCTCCACAGGGCCAGGCCCCTGGGAAAGCTGGGCCTCTAGGCAGGGGCACAGCCGCAGCTTCCACCGGGGTCATCCTGCTGCTTGCATTTAAGCTGCTGAAAGCTGCAGAGCCTGGAGAGCCCCTTCCCCATCCCGCCTGTCAGGGGAGGTCTCAACATGCAACACAGCAACTAGATGGATGCTATTCGAGGGACTGGGTCTCGAGTGCGACCCCTCCCCTACTCAACACCCTCTCTGGCGTCCCCCATCAGCAGGTGCGAGATACCGGAGGAAACCCCTTCAGCCATCCTGCTCCGCAGCACAGGGGGCCAAAAGAGAGGACACGTCCAGGAAAACCCAGACATATGGTAACCCTAGGCCAGCCCTGAAATGGGAGGGTGTTGCCGATTGATGCCAACCTTGTTTCGCCCTCAGATGCAATACCTGGAAAGACCCTGACCATTGAAGGGGGGTGCCAACCATTTGAGGTACAGGCCGCCAGTCTCCCCACCAGGTGTGGGAGTGGAGAGAGGAGCGATGGAAGATGCTCCTGCCCCCATGCTGGTGGGGACGGATATCGCCAAGCTAGAGCATATGAGAGCAGCGTGGGGGAACATCTAAACCCGTCCGCGTCAAGGCGGTTACTCGCCGGCAGAGCAACAAGGCGAAGACAGGAGGTGGGAAACCTCCCAGAGCCAGGTAACCCAGTTGGCTACGGAGGTAAAGGGGACAAGGGCAGAGAATCCCCCTGACTGCAGCAGCCAGCCGGCCGCTGCGGGAACGGACGACCCGGGGGTCAAGCTAAGTGACAGCTCCAGGGAGAAGCCAGGTCAGTCAGTGGCAGAGGGAGCCGAGGCACTCGGCGAGGAGGTAGAGACCCTCCCCACGGAGGAAGGCACACCCCTTAAGGAGGCACCAGACTCCCTGCCGATTGCCTAGCCAGGCAGGAGGAGATCACGCAGGAGGTTTTAGTTGACCCTAGCCTGGAGGAGCTCCAACGGGTGGCCCAGGAGCAAGAAAAGGAGTTCACCACGGATAAGAGGGAACAGGAGGTCTGGGATAAGGGACTCCTTTATCGGCTGTGGGTGCCCGAGAAACCTGCCGAGTCCTGGGAGCCCTATCGCCAGCCTGTGGCACCACCTAAATTCAGGTGGTGACTGCGCACCACGGCTCACGATTTACCCTGCGCCAGTCACCTGAGCGTGGGCCGCACCCAGCAGCAGCTGCTGGCAAACTTGCATCATCCCAGAACATGACAGATCGTGCGAGACGTGCCAGCGGACGGGCAAGAGTGGGGTTAAGAGCAGAGCTCCCCTGCAGCCCAATTCACCGCGAGTAGATCTGGAAACTTAGCCAATAGATTAAGTAATTTTAGACGCGTATTAAAAGGGTCCCCAAACCCAAGCTTGATGAGACTCGATTTATTCTGTTTTACTCGAGGCCTGTTTCTAACTTCCTTTGTTCTAACCCCCCTCTCCCACTCCCCCCCCGATCGATAAAAAGCTCAATACAGCGTGCCTCGATACAGCCCCCCCAGCAGAAGCAGCGAGGGGGGTCGGCGGCTCTTACCGGGACACGGAGCAGGCCACGGTCCCGAAGAGCGGGATGCTGTAGGAGCCGTTCAGGTCTGGGATCGGCTCCTTCTGCAGCGCTGACTTCGAACTGCTGCCCTGGGGTGGGGGGCAGGGGGTTGCAACAAGGCATGGGGCAGGCACATGGCAGAGGGCACGGGAACCCTTCCTTGCCCCTTCCTTCCCTGCCCTGCTGAGAATGAAGGGGACCCCACCCCCTCGGGTGCCGAGGCCGAGATACAGACCGTACTCCAGGGCTTCCTGCGAGGCCGGTGGGGGTCCAGCCGGGCCAGGACCAGCACCCAGGCCATCCTCGGTGACCGGGCAGCTCCTCGTCTTGACCTGGCGCAGGGAGGCAAAGCAAGCAGCGGCTGAACCAGGCTGGGCCGTGGCACCTCTCCTCCCACCTGCAGGCGCTGCGGCAGGACGGGTTCCCCAGGCAGTCAGCACATCCCAGTGCGCGGCGGCAGGGAGGGATAAGGCCAGGCCAGGGCACGAAGCCTCCCAGCCACCTCCGAGAGCTGTAATAAGCTCAGAGATCGGCAGAGGGCACCCGCATACAGGCCTGGGGCTCCAGGCACCCTGTGCCCATTGCTCCTGCCCCAGCCCTGGTGACTTCCACTCCCCTCCTGCCCCCTGCCACCCTCAGCCCCGCCAGGCCAGGGCCCTGGGAAAGCTGGGCCGCGGCTGCAGTGTCCACTGGGGTCATCCGGCTGCTTGCATTTAAACCAAAGATGCTCCGTCAAAAGCTGCGTAGCCTGGAGAGCCCTTTCCCTGTCCCACCTGCCAGCCCCCGCCCTGGGCCCACCCAGGGCCAGGCAGCTGGAGACCCAGCCCGGAGCCCACCACGGGGCTGGGTACACTTCTCCCTGCAGCACGCATGCCCCTGGGGCTGTCCCTGCGGGCCCAGGCTGCAGCCAGGGGAGGGCTCAATGCCTCAAGAGCCTCCCACCTCTGCAACTCCCGGCTCAGCCCTCCTGGAAGAGGCCTTAGCGCCCTTGACCTGGCGCTGCCTGGCTCTCCTTTCCCCCGTTCTCAATGCTCCGCTTCAGCATTGCTGCCTGCTGGGCTCCACCCCAGAGACAGCTGCATTTCAGAGCCAGGTGAAACCAATTCCATGCCAAGCACCAGGTGTCTTCTTTGGCCCCAGCACCATCGTTACCTCCAAGCGTGCCTCGCTGCCGGCGGACAGCCCTGTTCAGCACATGCTCCCTCCATGGCCCTCCTCATGGACCGCCTGGCACCTCCCTGCCTGGGCTGGATGGCTAGAGCACGCCTGCTCCTTCCACCACGGACACGGTAAGAAGCCACACGGCACACGGGCCTGGCGGAGCTCTGTAACCTACCCCTCCGTCGGCCCTGGGGGCCCGTCCGGAGCAGAGACCCTGGCACAGGATCCGTGCACCCATGGGGCTACCAGGGGCCTGAAGCCAGTGTGCCCACTGCCGCGGGGGCCAAGGAGGCTCGTGCCCCCCAGCACGTGGGACAGGAGCCTGGTGGTCCCGTGGCCCGAGGGACCGGTGCAGTCATAGACCCTGCCTCGCCCTCCTTCCCCCTCTGCACCTGGGAGGAGGTGGGAGTTTGTTCCCACGTGACTCACCCCCCAGCCTCTCGCAGCGCCTGCGGCAGCTGGGGGGCAGGTGAGTCAGCGGGGCAGGATGCACGGGGCCAGCCAAGGTCAGCACAGGGCACGTCCCTGCCCTTTGCAGCCGCCCCGCAGCTGGACTGGTTTTGCACAACCCCCCTGAGGCAATTTCCTCCTCCGGAGAAGCGCTGCTCTCCCCTGCCCCGCGCGGGGCTTTTGCAAGGGCCCGCGCAGGAAATGCAGGCGGCACTGGGCTTTCCGCAGAAGCTGCACCCCGGCGCCCCGGCACCCCACGCACGCCAGCCCGAGCTGCTGACTCATCGGGTGACAGGGCAGCCCCTCGCGCCCAGCTGGAGCCGTTGGGCAAGACCAGGCCCTCCCCAAAAACCAGATGCTGCTTCTGGCCGGGGCTTTCCTGGGGGCGCCGGGTTTCGAGCAGCGTGCCTTGCCCTTCTCCATCCTGGGGGCCGGCGCTGGGGACCTGCTGGCCCCCGCCCCGGGCTGCTTCCCCCCGCCCCGCTGCCGGGAAGCGCGCTATTCTTAGAGCAGCGCGGTCCAGAGGGAGGCCGACGCTGGAGCCTCGCCCCGTGCCAAGGCCGTGTTGCACAGGATCGGGGCCTCCTTGGGGGAGCCAGTCCCTGCCCCAGAGGCCTTCACCGGAGAGGCGGCCGGATCCCAGGTCAGGACCGCAAGACAGAAGCATCCAGCCATCCCCAGCAGCATGCCAACACGCGGGTCCCAGGGTGCTCCCCAAGCAGGGGCTGCCAGCAGCGGGGCGCGCACCCTTTCCCGGCCCAGCACCGCTGACCTAGCCGGCCCTCCCTGCTCCCGAGCCTCCAGGAAGCGAGCGCCCTGCAGAACAGACGCACTGGGGGAAGCTCCCTCCATCCATTCGGCCACCGCCGCGTGCCCCGGCGCCCCGGCCTAGCTGGGAAGGGTTAAGCACATTCTTTCGCCAGCATGGAGAAGAGGGAGTTTTTGTGTGTCATGCCTGCGCCTCTTGTGCAACGGCGCCGCGTTCCCAGGGCCGGGATGCAGCTGTGGGGGCGTAACGGTTAGCAGCTACAAGGCAGCGTGTGTGCGGGCGCGGAGGGGGAGCCGGCGCTCCGTGCCAAAGGCAGGCTCCCAGCCTGGGAAGGGCCTGCAGCCTCAGACAGAGCGGCGCCTCCGTACACCTGGGAAGTTCAGGTTAAAGCGCGGCGCATTCCTCCGCGCACAGCTGATTGAAGCATTAACAAACAGGCAGGCCGCGCCAGGCTCCAGATGGGCTGGGCCCGGGCCAGGAGGGAAGGCGCGGAGCAGGGGGAGACAGCATCGCTCCAACCGAAACCGCTTCCCCCCAGCCCCAAGACCCCGGCTGGCGCTACACCCCGCGGGTCCCACGGGGAGCTGGCCTGGCGCGCGGGGGAGGCCGAGGGAAGGGTCTTTTCAGTCCTGCAGTTGAAGAACAACGCTTGGGGGGGGGGGGGGGGGGAACCAGGGGGGGGGGGGG